TTCTTTCTAAGGAGTGGAAACAGATGTGAAGGGTTTCTTCGCTATGTTTTTTACCATCATGATGCTGGCTTATTCAGCCAGTTCCCTGCCACTGTCTATAGGGGCAGGGGAGAAAGCAGAAGCTGTACCAACAGTACTTGTGGTCATCTACTTTATGTTCATGCTGGTGAGTGTGAATTGTGTTTTTCTAGGAAGGAAATTTTTTTTTTTTTTTTTTTTTTTTTTTTTTTTTAATTAATTAATTTATTATGTACACCGAAGAGGGCACCAGATCTCATTACAGATGGTTGTGAGCCACCATGTGGGTGCTGGGAATTGAACTCAGGACCTCTGGAAGAACAGTCGGTGCTCTTAACCTCTGAGCCATCTCTCCAGCCCCAGGAAGGAAATTTTCTTATGTTCCCTCTTGCACATGTAACCTGCTTGACACATCAATATTTGGGACATGAGGCTTTATGCTAAAGCTTATTTTGGTCTATAGGAGATAAGGAGCCATCTTTCTTTCTGAGCTTTGTGGCTACTGCTCTGATGTCAGTTCTATGATGTGGTTAACATGCCCTTTCTAGTGATCTCTTACCAGACATTTCTTGGGATCTTATTATAAAAGAATAATAAATTAGAATTTCAAGAAAGTGGTATGATTGGATGATTCTCCGACAAGACAGATTGCAGCCTTCATTTCATGCTGGTGTGGGAGACTTGCCTGCTGTTTTAACTATAGCAGCGGTGATTTGGTTTATTCAGAACGATTGATTTTGTGTGTTAACATTCATATCCTTTCGACTAGTGCAAGAGCATACTTTAGCTTGGCAATGGCAAATGCATCTCTTTGAGAAAGTGCTAAGTTTTGTTTATATGTCCTATATACATGGCCATATATGTATGGCCACCCAGTAATGAAAATCTTCAATAAATATGTTATTATTAATTTTTGTTTTACAGATTCTTAAATGCATATAAAATGCTTTGATGAATTCCATGTCATTTTCTCCTTCCCAAATCCTTCCTTGTGGAATTTTGAATGAGAAATGTCCCCTAAGGCTCAGGGACTTGAACACTTGGTTTGCAGTTGGTAGTATTGTTGGAGAGGTTGAGACTTGATGGAGAAAGTCTGACCCTGTGCGATGGGAGGGGTTTTGAGCCTTTCCCCTGTAATCTTAATCTGTACCCCTTAATAAAAGGGGAGTGGGAATATACCAGTGAATTCTGCAGTGAAGATGTAGTGGCCACTGGAGCCTGTTCAGAGCTGGGCAGGAGTCAGTGGGCCAAAGGTCACTGAACTCACTGCAAAGCAGGCTTCCTCCGTGGGATCTGGAACATATTGGCTCATGAGTTTGTGCAGACTCTGGGTCCTTGGCTTAGGCAGCAGAATGCAGGAGGGGCCAGCCCCTCTCCCTCTCCCAACAGGTTTTGTTTTCTCAGGGTTATGGATAATTGTCATCTGTTAGAGTTTCATTATAAGTTTTAATAGGGTTGAGGGTGGAACAATAAAGTTTAGACTCAGGAATCTCTTTTGAGAAAATGGGGGATAGATAGGATAGAATAATAGGGTAGATTATTATATATACTTGTAAACTAATTTTGTAACTATCAGCTTTAGATAATTTGCATTTGTATGGATTTTTATATGGATAAAAATGTAAAATTATTTTTCTACTTCTGTTTAAGATAATTTGTATATTGATAAAAATATGAAACTATACTTGTCACATTGTACATATGTTTCTACTCCTATTTAAAATATCTTTGTATATTGATACAAATATAAATTATACTAGTCATACTGTATGTGTGTTCTAATCTGTTTAGGATATTTTGTATATTGATACATATTAAGGATATTGTTATCATATTGAACTATACATTTCTAACTCTGATTAAGATATTTTGTATATTGTTACAAATTCAAGGTCATTGACCTTATACTGTACATCTATTTACTGATTTTTTATTTTTATAATGTGAAACCTTAGTCTTTAACCTATTTAGGTTGATAAGAATTATAGGTCAACAGTCACCCACTCTTGTCATACTTATAGTCATGTTAGTTAGGTTTTTGAGATATATAGATATATATGTCAGATGGATAGGATATCTTCAAACACTTCACAGACCTGGAGTATATGGCATTTAAATGTTTTAATAACTTAGAATTCTGTTGACATGAGACACAATTGCTCCTGGTAGCACCGGATCTACTCTCAAGAGGATGTTGGGCATTGAAGACACTCCATATGAAATTTGTCTTCTTGACAAAAATGGCCTGTTGGGCATGGCACTTCCCTTGCCTCAACTGCTGACAGTAAGCACGCTGTCCATTCTGGACAAATAGGACAGAAGGAAATGTGACTGCTGAACCTTGCCAAGACAGAGTAAGACAGTCTTTCAAAATTTCCTATTTCTGGAAATGGTCTGTCAGATATTCTAGGCCTGTAGTCAAAAGTGGATGCCCCAACATTGCAGAGAAACATTGGGTGACTGTCCAGGAAGCCAGCTGTCTCTGCCATTTCTTGCATTTTTCAGAAGTTGTTTGCTTGTACTTCCTGTTTACTCAGGTAATACTATTTTCCTTCTTACGTCTTTGATGGGGTTGAAGAGTAGATGGTTACAATTACATTCCTCTCATATCTTGGCTAGACTGAGAGTCTTCAGGATTAGGACAGCTATTGATGTAATCTCTGTAATTTGCCATTTACCTATGGTCTAGACATTTAGTATGCGTTTCTTGCTTGATGTTGTTCTTGTTGGTGTAGTTCCATTTTTGTTTATGTTATTATTCTTTCTCCTGGACAATATTTGATAATTTTTCTTATTGTATATAGTTTTGTGTTAAGTTTAGAACCTTCTTATTTAGACAAAAATGGGAAGAGTAGTGGTATTTGCTCCACCCAGACCTTGCGCTGTTTGGCTCAATATAGGCAGTGCTTCTTGTCTGCCTGTGTGACCTCATAAAAGGGAAGAGAAAGGGGGGTCACACTCCCTTGGGTGGTGAAGACCCGGTCAGGCAGCATAAAGCCGTGTGTGATTGGTCCTCAGCTTTCCAAGAACTCTGCAACTGGATTTACCACATCCTGTATTCGTGAGTGTATTTCCCCATTTCATATCTTAATAAAACTCTGGTACCCTTTAAAAAGACTCTTATGGATTTAGCTTACAGTCCCTCTTCCTGTTCCCTCTCTTCTTTGCACTGTCACATGAGGATGTGAGCCTTCAGCTTCCTCTCCCACTTCCTAGCCCGCTGCCTGCTGCCATGCCTCCCTGCCTGGATGGCCTCTTGTCACTCTGGAAACCTGAGGCCAAAGGAACTCTCTCTTCTACAAGTTCCCTGACCATGGTGCTGTGTCACAGCAGCAGGAAAGTAACAGCTACATTTCCTGACACTCTTGCCATTCTCCCCTCCCTGACTCAGGCTTTGTTTGGTTTTTTTGTAAATGACTGAGTCTACTTAGCACTGCCCATACATACCAGTATATAGGACCATCTACTGGATCATGTGTAGGCCCCGAGGGGCCACATCCTTAAAGAAAACTGGCTCCCCTCCCAGCTGCCATCAACTGCCAGTAGCTCCTCAGACAGGGGTTGGAGGTCATGTCCACCTCTCCCCTCCATGCAGGGATCTTCTCTGGCTTGATCTTGTACAGACATTGCCCATGTTGTCACACTGCACAGCATTCCCATGTGTCACTGCCCAATAGTGACAGGAGAACCCTGTTTTGTTGTAGTTGTCCACAGCCTCTGGCTCTTACAATCCCTCTAGCCTCTTACATCTTGATCCTTGATCCTTGGGAGGAGGGGTATGATACACAGATGTCCCATTCAGGGCTGGATCCTCTGTAGTCTCTTCTCTGTATGTTGACCTCTGGTGGGCCTGTGTTAATCACCATCTCATGCAAAAGGAGGCTTCTCTGATGAAGGTCTGAGATGTACTAATCTATGGGTATCACAACTCAGTAGAAGTCAGTTTAATACCATATCCATTCGGAGGAATAACAGTAGATTCTCCTCTGGGCCCTGGGACCCCACTAGCCACAGTGTCAGACATGATTTCCATCTCATAGAGCAGGACATAAATACAATCAGAAAATGAATGGTCGGTCACTGCCATTGTAGTTGTCTGTCCAGTGTCCCCTGTGTGTTTCCTTCCCCCAAGGAAAAGATTTGCAAAAAAGAGTCTTTTGTGACGGTCACTGTCCATGAGCACACTTGTAACTTCAGCCCATGTCCCCAGGGACACCTCTCCCATATTTCAGCATTTCTATCTCACTGCCCATAGTGACAACACCCAATCAAGATGTAAGTCACCACAGACAGGAGACAAATAGAAACTGATGGAAAGTTTTGCCCCATCTTATTCAGAATTGGCCTCAGTGTCCCCTGACAAGCCTGTTGGCCTGGACTGTACACTAGTTTCTGTAAAGGAAGCTATGGCATTCTGGTTCTTAGAACTAAAATTTCTATCTCGATCCTGCTGTCTCTACCTTCTTAGTACTGGGATTAGAGGCCTGCACTACCACACTTGGTTTATGGGCCTTGCACATGCCAGGCAAGCATCCTGCCATGAACTGAGCTATGTCCTCAGCCTCATCCGCTATTTTTTTGTTTGGTTGTTTGGTTGGTGTTTTTTTAAGACAATTTTCTCAATTCCTAGGAGTGGGGGGGGGGGGGACTGTCATCAGAATGGGCTCAAATATAGAATAGAAACTCTGGTCTTACACATGTAAGCACATGAGTTTATGTATAAGTGAAATTTAATTTCTAGTTTCTGAGGTTAGTCATGTGTAGTGTATGGTGTTTCAGAGAAAAGATTAATAAAACCCATGCCTAAAGCACCAATAAATAAAATGTCTAACATCCTTGGGCACTCCTGTTGGGGTATGGTGATGTGGTTTTCACCTTCCTCATTGCTGGGGTGCTGGACTCTCAGGGCATGGAACAGTAGATAATCATGGCACTTATGGACCATTTGATCTGTAGGAGATTGTCTCTGCTGCCATCCCAGAGCAAGGACCCCAGAGCACAGAGGAAAGAACAAGGCCAAGAGACCATGTCAAGGAGTTCTGCCCATTGGTTCTGGTCCTCCTACCCCAGAGTGTAGAAGGGAAGGCTAGTCACCTTCCAGAGCCCAGAACTGCCTGAGCATTGTTATAGAGGATTTTAAAAAGTGAAATGTGGTTCTACAGTGACTGCAGTGCTTTGGTGGAGGGTTAAAGAGGATTGAATGTGTACATATAAATAAGATGGACAGAGCCTGTATGACCCCTCCCCTTTCCCTTCTCATGTTTGATTATATATTTAAGAGTGAGAATATGGGTGCACAGTAGAGTTTATACTGGAAATATATGACTGGAAATTTGAATAGGAGTACAGGGGATATTATGATGTTAAACTGTCTCTTGGACATCTCCCTACATTCTGTGAAATAGATTGGCCTTTGTTTGGGGGTAGACTGGCCCAAACCACAGCTCTCCCTAATGCTGTCTCTCCTGTTGTTTGCCAGCCTTTGCACATTGGTTTCCCTGTCTGTTTTCACCATGGAGAAGTCTTGCCCCCTCGATTTCATATGCATCCACAATACAATCTTTACTTTAAAAAAAATGAGAACTAAGGTACCATTGAATGGAATCTGTGAACTGTCATTCCTGAGTATACTGGTGCACTCTCCTGCAGGGCTTCCTCTTGCCCTGCCCATATGTTGCTCCAGCAAATTGACAGACAGGCCACTGCTTACTTCCCAGCAGCAAGCAGTTCTCCACCAGCTTGAGGCTGAATGGACTTGTCCATCCATAACCAAGCTCTGCCTTCACCCTGAAAGCACTTTGATTTTACCATAACTGGATATGAAGGATAGATATGATAGTTTTTTGGGGATATAAACTTAAAATCTTAAAGAAAATCTGTTTAATTACTTAGTCTCCTAAAAATAAAACTGTGGCTCAACACTTGCCATATTTAAATGGTTACTAAATGAAGTCAATTCTTGGCTTCCTAGCTAGCCTGTGGAGGCCACTGACTGTCACAACTTAAAATGAAGTCCCTGTTTATAATACTCACTCACAACTTCCACTGTCAGACAGAAACCTACAGAGCCCTTTATGGACTGTGTTAATTGTCTACAACAAGCTATAGACAGACAATAAAGAAGTTGCTATTGCCTATTTCTTTCATTATCATAAGAAAATGCAAACCCTGGATTATTAAATGATTAATCAATAAACCTTCATTCCATGGATCTAGCTCCTCTTGCTATTGCTGATATGTTAAGAACATGCCAAAATGTAGGCACCAATAAAACAAAAATCTCAAATTCTAGCAAAATCTTATGGCCTCTAACATGTTCAAATGTGAAAAAACAATGCCACCCTTTTCCTGGAGCTGACAGGCTTCTTA